AAGGCCCGAGGGTCCCCGGGCCGGGGCCCCCCCGCCGGCCCTGCCGCACCTCCCCGGCAGCCCTGGCCGGGAGAGGAGGAGGTGGCAGAGGATGGTGGCGAAGACAGATTTGCCTTTAGAAAGCTAAATGGCGAGAGTCACGACTCCGATGTTAATAACGGGCTGCCGGCAGTCATTCGCTGCTTCCAGGTAGAGAGCCCCAGCGCCTGCTCCCCACCCCCCCGGCTGGCTTTGGAGTGGGACCCCAAACACTGCAGCAAGCAGATGCCAGGCACCCAGAGAGGAGCGGGGTTTGCTCGGCTTGGACTTGTGCTTGGAGCTCGTTAGCCCGTTAATCTCCCACAGTCAGTGCACACAAACCCCTCTCCATTTATCTTTGCATTAAATGCAGTTGCGCAGCACAGCGCCCTTTGCCTTTCTTTGATCGAAGCACCCTGTTGCATACACCCAAAAGGGAAATATCTAGGCTCCAAAGGCATGTAATTTTAGCTCCACAAGGTTTTTGCCATCTCCTGCTGTACCGGAGGCTGAGCCTTAGCGCAGCAGAGCAAATCTGAAGCGCTGTCAAATGTGCTTTTACATCATGAACACGGGCTTTGATGGCCCCTTTCTGCTCCCCAGCATGCGAGGTATTTTTGCCTGCTTCAGTGTTGATATGAATTGGTTATGGTCAGACAGACATCCTCTTCCCCCGCTAACAACCACGGTGGCGTCTGTCAGGTTCGGGGACGGTGAGCAGCAATCGAGCCCTCTGGGAAAACACTGGGTCTGAACTAACTCTGTCGTCTGCGGGATGATTACCAGGTGGTGGAACAACTGATTTCTCTTCCCCGACCCCCCCATTTCTCTTTCGAGATGTCATGGTTGGGTTTTGTCTGACATTGATTTAATAAAAGTTAAAGACCTAGGATCTGATGAGGATTTTCAATAATACAGCGTTCCACTTGCAGTCAGGATAAAGCTGCTCCGCTGCGACCAAGTCTTTATTTGCCCAGGGTTTGTGTTAATCTTGGCATTGTCATCAGTAGATGAGGGTTATCTTTTACTGGCAGCTGGGAATGAGCTTCTAGTAGTTAGAAAGTTAATAATCAGTGGAGACAGTTTCTTTGTAGTATTGTGACACACTGGTTAAACCATTAACGCCTCTCTGGGGCTGACCTGAGGGCAGGGTGCTGGGAAGGTCTGGAGGATTTTTCTGTCTGTTTAATCCTCACGCGTGATCTCTGCCCTCCCAGCAGTGTGTCGTACCAGAGGCTTCAAACCAAAGATTTCCAGGCTGACCTTGGTTTCCACAGTGCTTTTATCAGATCAGTGTCAGAACGTTTGCCAGCAGCTCGGGTCACGATGTGGAAATGCTAACTGGGTCTTTACGGAGATGTTTTTAACCCTGTCTCACAGCCACCGCTAGTGAAGACGCAGACGGTCACCATCTCCGACGTGTCCAGCGCTGTCAAAAGCGAAATTCCCACGAAAGAAGTCCCCATTGTCCACACGGAGACAAAGACCATCACCTACGAAGCTGCACAGGTAAGGTGTGTTCTGATTAATTTTCCAGGGGCTTAATTAAACTCAAGCATTTTGTTTCCAAATCCCCTGGATGAGACAGCAGCACCTGCCTTTCTCCAAGCATCCGAGTGCCAACACAGGCGTTAACCGATGCTGTGGACTCTATTTCTAGGTGCATCTGGTATTTTTAGAGGAGCAGTGTTTTTACTGTCCTTGAAGAGTAATTATTTTTTCAAGATGTGCGTGCAAACAGAATTTATCTTCAGCCCCTGGTGGCTTTGGGATGTAGAACTGACTGTACAGAGTTAACCTGAGATGGCCTTTTTCTGCAAGAGATGCCTTGTCTTGTTTTCCCCAACTCTCTTTGCTGTTTATGCCTCTTCAGAACTTGGTTTATAAATTGATTATCCTTTAGGTTTCAGCCCTGAAGCAGGTGTTGAAAACGGGAAGTTTTGTATAAAATGCAACCAGAGTGGGTATCTGGTGATTGGAAACTAGAAATGTTAGTGGAGCAATGCCAGCATACGCAGGTGTGGTTTCATTGCTGAGGTTAAAACTAATCCTCCATCTAAAATAGGTGTTATTTATGTATTTGAGAATTTGGAGCCTGTGTTAGCTCGGGTTCGTCGTAGCTGTGGTTGTTAGAAGCAGCCCATGCTCTGTTGTTGGACTGTTGTGACAGTGGGATGTAGGTTCGGCTGCGGGTATCCCATGGACCATGCTTGTATCAATAATTTGGGATTCCCTAGAAATGCTGTGGCTGCTCAGCATCCTCCCCGATGGCAGAAGCAGAGCTCAGACGTGCCCGCACTGGGCAGTGGTGAGCATCGCCTGGTTTCTCAGCCAGTGACCGGATGAATAGTGGAGCTCTGCTCTGGTTACTGCTGTTAGTTTCTAACTGGGAAATGAAACGTGCGTCTCCAGGGCTGGGAGAAGTCGGCCGTGCGTGTGCCGGCTGGTGATGTGCCGTGAGATTTCTTCCAGTCTGTGGAAAATGGTCCCACCTTGTGGTAACTCCAGATATCGTCCCACCGCCGTGCTGGGGATGCTGCCCAGCGTTCGTGGTGGTGCACAGTGAGGGAGACGTGGCCAGGATGACTGACTTCAGGTTCTCCAGCAGACCTTGAAAGGTCGAGTCGTGTGGGATAGCAACCAAGTAACCAGCTATACAGAAGTTGTCCACAGAATCACAGAATAGTAGGGGTTGGAAGGGACCTCTGTGGGTCACCCAGCCCAACCCCCTGCCGAAGCAGGGTCACCTACCGCAGGCTGTAGGAGTCGTTGT